ATCATATAGTTGGAATCATATAGTATATAGCCTTTTGAAATTGGCTTCTTTCACTGAGTAATATGCATTTAAATTTCTTCAGTGTCTTTTCATGGTTTGACAGCTCATTTCTTTTTAGCACTGAATAATATTCCATGGTCTGGATGTACCACATTTAATTACCCACTTATCTACTAAAGGACATCTTGCTTGTTTGGGCAATTATGAATAAAGCTGCCATAAACATCTGTGAGCTGGTTGTCTGTGAACATGGTTTTCAGTTCATTTGGGTAAATATCCAGGAGTGTGATTGCTATATCATTATGGTAAGAATGTGTTCAATTTTGTAAGAAACTGACAAACTGTTTTCCAAAGTGGCTGTACGATTTTGCATTTCCACCAGTAATAAATAAGAGTTCCTGTTGCTCTACGTACTCATCAATGTTTGGTACTGTCAGTGTTTTGGATTTTGGCCTTTCCAATAGATGTGTAGTAGTATTTCATTGTTCTTTCAATCTGCAATTCCTCACTGACTTATGATGTTAATATCTTTTCGTATACTTACTTGCCATATGTGTATCTTCTTTGGTGAAGTATCTAAGATCTTTGACCCATTTTTTAAATGTGTGTTACATGGTGAGCAGATCTGAGCAAACCTACCCCCAAAGGCCAAGGGAGCTGAGAGGCCAAAGAAAAGAGGCTGACAAATCCAATTTCTCACAAACAAATATTTAATAGGGATTTATGAACAAAAGCCATGTCTCCATCAGCTGCCAGACAGTGGATGGCTGCACCAACCCTCCAGAAATACTCTTTATTTAGCAAGCTTTTTTTGGTCAGACATGTGGAGATGATGTCTCAGATCCTCTTGTGAAACTAATGACCACTAGGGAGGTCATTAGTTTATGAGGGGTTATCTATACTACAGGCATTATTTCTTGACCTTGCTGCAGGAATGCCATGGTATGCAGGCGTCAAACATCTGTCATTATGGTGGTTTTGCTTCAAGAGGGCATCACTTTGCTATGCAACAGGCTATTTTCCTGCATAGGTATATGTGTACAGTCACGTGCCACCTAATGACATTTGGGTCAACAATGGACTTTGTATACAATAGTGGTCCCATGAGATTATAATGGAACTAGCTGCTCTATACAAGTATACTAATTTTAATCTTTTTTACCATATTTTTACTGTACTTTTCTATGTTTAGATACAAGAATACTTACCAGTGTGTGACAGTTATCTACAATACTCAGTACAGTCACATGCTGTATTGGTCTGTAGCCTAGGAGCAATGGGCTGTACCATATAGTCTAGGTGTGTAGTAGGTTTTACCATCTAGGTTTGTTTAAGTGTACTCTATGATGTTCGCACAACAATAAAATTGCCTAACAAATCACAAATAATTTCTCAGAGCATGTCCCTACAGTAAAGTCACACATGACTATATGTATGTGTATATATATGTAAAATATATATACAGAGACATGTACATATACACACACACATATACGTATTTACATATGTATATGCATATAATATATAGGTAGATTATGTAGAATGCTATGAAGTGATAAGATATGAAAAAATATACACAGCGTAGAAGGGACTGTGGGATCAGGAATACCAGTGGTTGGAAGAAGGGCCATCTGTAATTTTAAACAGGGTGGTCAAATGAAGCCTCATTGAGAAAAGGAAATTTCAATAAAAACTTCAAGGAAGTGAAAAAAAGAAGTGAGTGACTTGGTCAAAAGGGCTTTGAGCATGTGATGTGATCAAGGGAGAACAAGGTGACTGAGTGCCTGGAATGGAATAAAAGTGGAAGAAGGTTCTAGAAGTTGAGGTCAAAGAGGTAACAGGGGATCAGATCATGCAGGGCCAATAAGTCATTATAGGATTATAGCTTTTGCTCCAAGTGACACTCAGAAGCAGGGCAGGATTTTGAGCAAAGACGTGGCCGGATCTGACTTACATTTTAAAAGGTTCACTCTGGCTGCTGGGTTGAGAATATAGACAATACGGGAGCAAGTGTAAATACAGGGAGAATACAATAGTTAGGAGGCTGTTACAATAATATAGGCAAAAGATGATGGTAGCTGAGATGGTAGCTGAGGATAAAAACTATGGAAGTGGTGAGAATAGGTCAGATTCTGAATATGATTTTAATGTAGAGCTAAAAAGCATAGACATACCTTGGGGACATTGTGGTTTTGGTTCCAGACCATCTCAATAAAGGGAATATCACAATAAAGTGAGTGACATAATTTTTTTGGTCTGCCAATGGATATAAAAGTTATGTTTACAGAATCAGCGGTCTATTAGGTGTGCAATAGCATTATATCATTAAAAAAACAATGTAAATACCCTAATTTAAAAATATTTTACTGCTAAAAAATGCTAGCAATCATCTGAGTCTTCGATAAGTTATAATCTTCTTGCTGGCAGAGGGTCTTGCCTTGATGTTGGTGGCTGCTGACTGATCAGGGTAGTGGTTGCTGAAGGTTGGGGTGGTCGTGGCAATTTCTTAAATAAGACAATGAAGTTGCCACATTGATTGATTCTTCCGTTCAGAAAAGATTTCTCTGTAGCACGTGATGCTGTTTGATAACATTTTACCCAAAGTACAACTTCTTTCAAAATTGCAGTCAATCCCCTAAAACTCTGCCCCACTTTATAAACTAAGTTTGTGTAATATTCTAAATCTTTTGTTGTCATTTCAACAATATTCACAGCATTTTCATCAGGAGTAGATTCCATCTCAAGAAACCATTTTCTCTGCTCATCTGTAAGAAGTAACTCCTCATTCGTTCAAGTTTTACCATGAGATTGCAGCAATTCAATCACATCTTTAGGGCATACTTCTAATTCTAGTTCTCTTGCTATTTCTGCCACATCTGTAGTTATTTCCTCCACTGAAGTCTTGAACCTCTTGAAGTCATCCGTGAGAATTAGAATCCACTTCTTTGAAACCCCTATTAATGTTGATATTTTGACCTCCTCCCGTGAATCACAAATGTTCTTAATTTACTTTGCCCAAACCCATCAGAGGAATCATTATCCCACAGCAGCTATAGTCTTATGAAATATATTTCTTAAATAAGAAGACTTGAAATTCAAAATTCCTCCTTGATGCCTGGGCTGCAGAATAGATATTATGTTAGCAGGCATGAAAACAACACTAATGTTCTGTATGTCTCCATCAGAGCTCTTGGGTGACTAGGTGCATTGTCAATGAGCAGTGACATTTTGAAAGAAATCTTTTTTTCTGAGCAGTAGGTCTCAACAATGGGCTTAAAATATTCAGTAAACCATACTGTAAACAGATGTGCATTCATTCAATCTTTGTTTTCCATTTATAGATAGGCACAATAGATTTGACATAATTTTTAAGGGATGTAGGATTTTTGGAATGGTAAGTGAGCACTGGCTTCAACTTAAAGTCACCAGCTGCACATCAGCCCCTAACAAGAAGAGTCAGCCTGTCCTTTGAAGATTTGAAGCCAGGCACTGACTTCTCCTCTGTAGTTGTAAAAATCCTAGATGGCATTTTCTTTCAATAGAAGGCTGTTTTGTCTACACTGAAAAGCTGTTGTTTAGTGTAGCCACCTTCATCAGTGATCTTAGCTAGACTTTCAGGATAACTTGCTGCAGCTTGTCCATCAGCACTTACTGCTCCTCCTTGTAATTTCATGTCCTGGAGATCGCCTCTTTCCTTACACCACAAGAACCAACCTCTGCTAGCTTTAACCTTTTCTCCTGCAGTTTCCTCACCTCTCTTAGCCTTCATAACATTGAGGAGAGTTAGGGCCTTGCCCTGGATTAGGCTTTGGCTTGAGAGAACATTGTGGCTGGTTTGATCTTCTCTCCAGACCACTCAAACTTTCTCCCATGTCAGCAATAAGGCTGTTTTACTTTTTTATCATTTGTGTGTTTGCTGGAGTAGCACTTATAATTTTCTTTTAAGAACTTTTCCTTTGCATTCACAACTTGGCTGACTCTTTGTTGAAAGAGGCCTGGTTTTCAGCCTATATTGGCTTTTAGCATGCCATCTTCATTAAGCTTAATCATTTCTAGCTTTTGATTTGAAGTGAGAGATGTGTGGCTCTTCCTTTCACTGGAACACTTAGAGGTTATTAACTGGCCTAATTGTGAAATTGTTATGTCTCAGGGAATAGGGAGGCCCAAGGAGAGGGAGGGAGGTGGGGAACAGCCAGCCGGTCAGCGGAGCAGTCAGGACACGCACAGCCTTTATTTAAGCTCACAGTCTCATATGGCGTGATTCCTAGCCCCGCAAAACAATTACAGATGTAACATCACAGATCACCATATAGATATCATCATAATAAAAAAGTTTAAAATATTGTCAGAATTATCAAAACGTGAAACACAGACATGAAGTGAGCACACAGTTAGGAAAAGGGCACCAAAAATCTCGCTCTATGCAGGGTTGCCACCAATGTTCAATGTGTAAAAAATGCAGTATCTGTGAAGCACAATAAAAGAAGGTGTGTCTGTATTTCCAGATTGATAAGAAGAAAGATATGAGAGAAAGAGAGGATTCAAATATGACCAGCCAGGGTTTTGGCCAGAGTAACTGAAAAAGTTCGAGCTGCCATTGACTGAGACGGCAAAGATGGCAGAAGGAGCAGGTTTTGGGGTTTAGGAGTCTCCTGTGTTGCACATATTTATTTGAAATTACCAATTTAGACAACTAAGTATAAATTTGGAATAAATATTGCATATGTTAATCTGAAGTTAAGGGGAAAGAGAGAGATCTAAATCAAAAATATAAATACAGATGTCAGCATCTAACCAGTTTGTAAAGCCAGGAGACTAGAGTTCATCAAGTGAGTTAGTCTAGAAACATGAAGAAAGAACGAAGACTGAGCCCTGGGACAATGTTAAAGTTGTGGGAATAAGAATCAGTGAGGGAGGCTGAAAGGAGTGGCAGGTGACATAGAACAATCAGGAGACAATGGTGTCCTGAAAGCCAAATGAAGGAAAGTGTTAAAACTTACAGGAGGAGGGAGTGAAGAACTGTGTCATGTGCTGCTGATGGATTCAAAGCACAGTGTTCCCCTGGTTTGCAGTCCGCTTTCTGCTGTTTCAGTTACCTGGGGTCACCTATGGTCAAAACATATTAAATAAAAAAATTCAAGAAATAAAAATTCATAAGTTTTAAATTGTGTGCTGTTGTGAGCAATGTGATGAAATCTCTCTCTATCTGGATAACCTAGGATGTGAATCTTCCTCTTTTTCGCATCCACCCTGTCCATGCCACCCACCTGTTAGTCCCCCCCCCCCCTTATCACATTGGCTGTGGTGGTATCCCAGTGCTTTTGCTCAAGTGACGCTTATTTTACTTAATAATGGTCCCCAAAGCACATGAGTAGTGAGGCTGGCAAGTCAGATCTGCCAAAGAAAAGCCATAAAGTGCTTCATTGAACATAGGATATATACGGTTTGGAATTATTGGCAATTTTAGGCATCCACAGAGGATCTTGAAACATATACCCAGTGGATAAGAAAAGGCTACTGTAAAATGATGATGGAACATTGACCTTGGGAATTTTTTTTTTTTTTTTTGAGACAGAGTCTCACTCTGTTGCCCTGGCTAGAGTGCTATGGCATCGGCCTAGCTCACAGCAACCTCAAACTCCTGGGCTCAGGCAATCCTTCTGCCTCAGCCTCCCAAGTAGCTGGGACTATAGGCATGCGCCACCATGCCCGGCTAGTTTCTTCTATATATTTTTATTTGGCCAATTAATTTCTTTCTATTTTTAGTAGAGACGGGGTCTCGCTCTTGCTCAGGTTGGCCTTGAACTCCTGACCTCGAGCGATCTGCCCGCCTAGGCCTCCCAGAATGCTAGGATTATAGGCGTGAGCCACCACGCTGGGCCCTGACCTTGGGATTGAGCAGCATGGAGACCTTTGGCCACCTTGACAAGAGTGCTTGGTTTCCATGGAATGATGATGATGAAAGCTTCATTGGATTTAAGGGAGACAGGAGTAGAGCATTTGGAGACAGCAAGCATAGGCAACCCTTTCAAAGAGTTTTCCTAAAGACAGCAAATAAAATAAAGTAAAATGAAATAAAACAAAAAAAGAGGCAGCAGCTGGGAGGGAAATCAGGCTTTTTTTTTTACGGTAAAAAATAACTACATGTTTGGGATGATAGGAATGATTCAGTTGGGGCCCCAAATCAATAATAATATAGGTGAGAGGATAAAATTGCTCATAGCAAAATATGATAACATATTTTAGAATATTTGAGAGCTTATATCTAAAATACATACTTAAATTAACAAATATTAATATTGAAATAATGTCTAGCTACAAATTCATACTATTTCTTTGCATCCCATTCAAAATTCTGACCCATGTAAAAATGATACCAGTTAAGTATCATTTTATCATCTTAAGTATGATCTCTTAACTGATTAAAATAATTAGCACTAAAATATATATTAAGCTTAACATCTCATCTAAAGCCCATTTTATTTTTAAAGATTTCCAAAGTCAATCCTAGATCCGAGAGATATACAAAAAACTTTAACATGAAAACAAGGTCATGCTTCTCCACCACACCCAGGGCTAAACCCACTCCCACCTGTAAGTGCCATAGAGTAGATTCTCATCAGAGTTCATTTCCACTTGTAACACTGAGGAGCCAGACCGAGAGTAGAAATGTGGAGCCTTATAAATGAAGAGCCTAACTACTTTAGCTTGGGAGTAGATTTAAGCAGGTGGATTCAGGATGCTTCTTACTGAGCTCTCTTTTTGTGAAGCAAAATGCCTTTAATCCAAAAGTATTATTCGTTACATCTCTACAAAAGTCAAATGCACATAAAAAATATATTTGTCCTCCAATATTATCTTCTTGCTTTGCCCAGGAAAAACTGTTGGATCCTGAATCAGATCTGCCTGAGTCTTCAGCATACACACACGTATAAAACGGTGGCCTCTTCTCCTTCTGTCCAAATCACATTGCTTTACTATCCATTGACTCACCTGACAAAGATGTGTATCTGAAAAAAGAGCCCCAGACAAAACTTTGCTTGGCTGGCTATGCCTAGGATCATTGACCCTGCTGAACCCAGGCAAGCCCCTGAACTCCCCACGCCCAACCCATCCTCAACACAGATACTTTTTACAGAGAACTTTCCTGGGAGGGAAGAGATAGTATAGTATTCATATATTACATTTCATAGCCACAAATCACCAATCTACCTTTGCAAAGTGTGTCTTCCTTAAACATGTATAGCATGCATACATATGAATGCATGTGTGGTATTTAACACATGTTAATGAGATCAATCCCAAGTGAATTTATTTGTAGGACACCATATACTCCAATTATGCATAGAGTTGTGTTAAAAACCAGGGACTTTCCATGCAAATGACTAATTAAAAATGATTTTAAAGATATTTATCCACGTGAGCTGCCTTTATGTTTCTTAAGAATGTTGTCTAAAGGGTTAATATTATATGTAAGGTAGACATTTAATGGATAAATTTAAAAGCAGCTAAGAACATAGCATCCTGTGCATAACTTTCATAATTGTGCGTTCCTCCAGAGATAATGGATATCATTATCAGCGGCGCCTGTCCTAGGAAACTTGGCAAGGTTATGATTGTTTGTTACAGCTTTGGTTATATTAACATACACATTAATATTTATAAATATTTGATGTCATGTTAATTTTTCATATAAGATGATTTATGTAATGTTGCTGTGCCCTGTTAGAGGGCATTTGCAATATGCTTCAAAAGGGAACTGAATTGATGTATGTTCTTTAAGGGAACTTGTCTGTATATCACTGTTCTTACAATGCATTATTCTGAACAAAAGTATTTCAAAATAAATTATGTGAATTGTGGATTTACTCCATTAACATTTTAAATAAAACATAAAGGAAAAGATCATGCTGAAACTATTTGCTGCATTTTTAAAAGGAGCTCTGTTCTCTTGGAGCAGAACAAAGTTTACTGAAATATTCTTTAAAAAACAAAGTTATGAAGTAAGCAATGGTTTTGAAATTTTGTTTTAAATAATATTATATAGTCTATGCAGCATGCAAACTGGAATATTCAGAAAAGTGCATATTAGCATGGGATGGAAAAAAATCACAATATTCTTGTGTTTCTTTGTCAATTTTCTTTTGCTAAAGTATATTTTGCTGTGACCAAATTTGGATATTAAAGGAGTTGGGTATTAATTAAGATATACATAATAAATAAATCAAATGTAAGTTATTAAATGAACATTTGCTTTATATGAAAAAATTTATTTCTCTTTAGAAAAGTTTAAGCAGCTTTAAGCAGAAAGTTAGTTTATATAACATATATTAACTATGAAACCAGTAATATATAGTATGAAGAATTATAGGTTTGTTTAGTATTATAATAATGTTTTCTAATATAGTTCATCGGTCCACATTACCTAATAGTATTATTAATGATGTTTTAGTTTTTTTCATTTTAATCAAAAAATCCATTGAATAAAATCTGTGGAAAAAACTCAGAAACCCTGTTTTATATGATAATTCATTTCCCTATGATAGTGAGTGTTACCTTTTTATCTTTTTTTCCTATGGAGGCATTTTTTAGTATCATCTGTAGTTATGCTATTAGCATAGGAGCTATTAATAAAATTTGAGTTTTGGTGTATTTGTTCCTTTTTGACAATTTTAACTATCCCTTTTATTGTTCATTTTTCCCTATTAAGATTTGAGTTTTCTTTAAGGTGAACAACTCATTATTAACTTATTGTTCTTTTTTCATGTCCCAAAAATGAGACATCACCCTGTAGTGTTACACTAAGAACCAATTTAGTAAATTTGAGAATTTTGGGGATCCTCATTTAAAATATCTACCTGGAATTGAATATTTTCTTCTTCTAAATTTATCATCAAATAATAATTGTTACTTTTCATTTCATCCTTGGAACTGTATTAAACCCTTGAAAAACTTAAGAAATCAACTCAAGAAATTCCCTTTGATTTGACATTATAGAAGTTGGCTTGCTCTTACTATACAGTTTCACAGAATTGACAATTAATTTGAGTAAAATGTAATAGATCTTTTTCCTCATATTTTCATATTCAAATTAATTCTGTCACCACAATTATTCACATTACAAAAAAATTATAGCAGGTCATAAGAGAAGAAATTGCCTTAATCTGAGGCCACCCAGAAAGATTCGTGGCAATAAAGCTTATGGAAAATACGAGAATAAGGGTTACATTCCCAGGTGATAGATAACTAGCATTATACAGAATATATAACTATTAAGTCATTTTAAATTCATATAATAAATATCATGTGAAAAAATGTTGCTAATGCACATAGTCAAAAATAGCAGTAAACGGTGAATAAATTGTGTTAAGTATAAATCAATTAAATTAGCACCTAAGTATATTTAGCCTAAAATATATATGCTACAGACATGGAAATCTATTTATATTCCTTAATGTATAATATGAAGAAAAAGAAAACATGGAAGTATTTTGAGAGTATCCCAGTACTGTCAAATATTAATCAGAATTCATTCTTCAGAATCCTTGCTTCCTGAATGAAGAATAAAAAATTTAAAAGGTGTAGTATTATATATGATCAAAAAGTTATAAAACATAGTATCTGAAATTATCAAACACATCAGCAAAACCACCTTGTATGAAAGAATACAATAGATCATCCTTCAAGGAAAAACCAGAAATTAAAAGCTCTAGGTATAAAAGGTAAGATAATTAGAAAAGTATAATCAAAGAGTGCATCCCACATAAAGGTTATCATTGTACTTTTTGTTGCTGAAATAAGCCTTTTGACAATCAATATATAATCAGATTGGAAGTTTTCTTTGTTACACTGACTCTTCTTATTCTTTTATAGGTATAAATGTATGTTAGGTAAATAATAAATTAAGAAAAAGGAGGTAGATGTTCAGTTGTACTATTTTTAAAGCATCTTCCTTAAAATTATATGCTGCTTAGAGACTGTGTTAGCTTAGTTTATTTAAAAACATGGACAAACTATAAAACTATAGTAGGAGGTAGATAAGGATATATAGAAATAGACATATGCACATACAGATACACAGTTATATGAGGGCTGTCTGGCTAATA